AAAATCATGAAGGTAAGACAAACAGAATTCAGGCGATCAGTCAACAACATGTAAAGGATTTCATGTTTAACAGTTTGATATGTTGGATGTTACGATTATACTTCAGTCCTTGTGTAAACTCATTACCTTTGGGTTTCTCGCCGTTGGTGTCGTTGGCGTAAGTACAAGCTGCTATACATTAATGCATACCTCATCTTCATGATGCATCGCACAAACAGCGTTACAGGTTCGCGATTCGGTTGTGGTTGGTCGTAGCCTATTTGCAAATCAAATGGCAAGGTGTAATAGACGTTRGCATCCTCATATACGAATACTATTTCAGTGAGCACAACAAGAGCAAGCAGGAGTTTTTGACGGAGCTGTCCGATGTGCATGGGCCCATCATTGGTCAAGTGCTGGCTCGCATTGGAATTATATTGATCGTTTACAGATTCTTCAAGTCCCTAGAACCAAAGAAGACTAGGCTGTACGGCGTGCAGCCTGAGCAAAAGACAGATGAGCTGAAATTGAAGTAACTACGCAGAACAAATGCTTTTATTGTTCGGAAATCTTTGTTAAATTAAAAAATTAAAAAAATAAAAATTGTGAGAAACGCAGCAAAGGATTCCTAGCGACTTGTTGTCCGGCTTGGGGATGGTTTAAGTTAATGTAAATGTGGTATACAATAAATATGAAGGCGAATTCGACAGCTGAGGGGATCGGGAATCAGATTAGGTCGTAGATCGTAGCTGTGGATGCTTAACTTGCCCATAGTCAGCAATGACATCAGGATGTTGGTTAGCGCCTCAATGGCATCGCCCGCTAGTAGCTCCAGGATCCATAGCACCACATACACAAAGTCGAATATCAGCCCTCCTGCGCACCAGATGAGCCAGAACAACAGCAGCTGTGGCTTTTGCTGCGAAAGGCGCTCTCAGTAAGTGGGCAACGCATTTGAATAAAGGTCGGACTACCCACCAATATGATGCCGGCGAGCATCAGCATTGACACAGCTATCCACACATTCAATAGGAGCAGGTAAATCCCCAGCATCCAAGGACTTAGGCTGTTGCTGTAGAGCGCTGAAAAGTTGGTTATAGTTAGTATGCTGGYGCTGGCTTCTMCTGATGCMTTCCGTTCAGACTCTCACTTGTCACATGCGTCGACTGCTCCAGCTCACTGGCTGTTGTCCGGTTTGCTTTTCTGGCTTTGCTCTGGCGCATCATGAAAATAATCATCAGCTCAAAGAACAAAGCTCCTATRATGTCCATGCAACCAATGGCCAGGCCAAAGCCATTCAATGCGCTCACCATTCTCGCTTTGCACCGAAATCTGTATTTTCTTCAACTCGTACTTCTCCCTCTGTTTCTCTCTCTCT